AAGCCATCGAAATCCCAGATAAAATCGACACCGATATGAGCAACTGCATTGCTATAATCCAACAAATTATAGCTACCATTATAAATAACATAAGAAATAAAAAAAAATAGATATTAATAAAGTGAACCATTTCTAGCAGGCTCAGCCTCGCTTTCAATCTGAGTAAATTAACTGAGCCCGCGATTTTCATGAGGTTGCTTAGCAACATGGCGTATTCTTACGCCACGAAGCTAACGCAACAACTTCCGGTGTGCTCGTGAATGCTCGTGCATGATTTCTATTGGTTAATAAATCGAAAACTCTTTGGAGAATTACCAGAATTCTTCCAAATATGTGTTATTAAATTGCAAAATACTGTTGGTTACAATTGAGCTTGATGGTCCCCTTTCTCGCAAAAAATGCACGCGAGAGAGCCCATAGGATCCCACGCTGGTAGCACCATTGGATCCTGCTCCAACACGGCCATTACATCTGCGGGACATATTTCTTGTCCACAACAACTTCATAGACAAACTCAGTGAACCAGCCATCAGTCATCATTAGGTAACCTGGCTTATCCTTCCTCCTCGCCCCAGGAATTCCTCCACACGCCATTTGGTGGTTTGACTTCCGGTGCTGACGCTTCTTCCGCTGCTGGCTCTGGATCTTCATTGTCACTGGCCTTTTGTGTCTTCCTGGAAATAAAAAGGAAGACAAAGGAATGGAAATATCCTGCGCGCTTCACCTTCCACTGTGTTTTAAATTAATGACAGAACAGGACGTTAATGCTATGGAGTTTCCTCCCTTTCAGCCGTGTCTCCCCATCCCTAAACCGTCCCTTTCACCTCTCCAACCTCGTTCCAAGGGCTTTTCCCTTCTAAATTTAGAAGGGAAAAGCCCTGGGAACGAGGTTGTCATCTCTCTAAAGAACAAAAGAAAACACAGATACTTCAATTTTATTGATAATCAGTGAGTTATAGACCCTATGCAAAAATGGCTGCCAATTTAAAATTTATTTTGTTGCATTTAAATTAGCCTCACTAACCTCGTTTCTAGAGTAAAAATTATTTTGAATTATCAACTCAAAAACGAGGTTTAGTGAGGCTACTTCAAATACATATAAATTGGCAGCCATTTTTGCATAGGGTCTATGAGTCAGCTACGAATCAGTTCGCATATTAAAATTTCACTCTTTTCTAGAGATCATTGAATCTTTGCTCTTTGCTCACCTCCCAGGGAGAGTCCAGTACACACCATGGCATGGGTCATGAGTGAGTCGCCGTACAGCAGACGCTGAGCTTTGTTCAAAGCCATCATGGAAACACCAAACACAACTCATAGTTATGACTGTAGGCAAATAAAAGAAAGGGTGTGAGCTACGTAGAGTCTACAAATCAAAATACAGAGACCTCGACCCTTTAAGCCTCAATAGGGTGATCTCTTGCCACCCAGCCATACAAAGATCTGTAAATTTGACAGTTTTTCAAAACGAAAATAATGTCATTGTCTGGTTCTATATTTCAACGTATTGCTCTCATATTTGCGATAGTTTACTAAATGACACAGTCACTGTAATTTCCAGGAAAATTGATGCTAACGAGAAGATAAAAGAAAGCCGACGTTAATAAAGATCGTTCCTATACCAGCATATTCCCCAGACTGGGGGAATCTTTTTAATAAGGCAATTTAGTTTTCTCACTAAAAATACTCTGAAAGCTTGATTATGTAATAAGAATAATAATAATAATATTTAATATTTACATTGCGCGTGTTACATAGGGAGATGCTCACACACGCATTACAAGATATCACACTATTTAAAATAATGTACTGACATTATGAGGTGAAATTAAGTTTATGAACTCACATATCAAGATGAAGTGCTCCCACTTTTTCTTTCAAAGTGTTTGCCAACATCACAACCAAACCAAACGGCCTGAGGACAACACAATACAGAGATGTAGCATCCCGTTTACTTTTCCCGCAAATGGAAAAAATTTCACATTTCTACGTCAAAGTGAATTTCTTCGCGTCACGATAAACGTGTGGAAGTAAAGTAAAGGGAATCAACTGTAAGCTGACGTTTTCCGTGAGAAAAAGGTGAAAATAAAGGAGACAGTGGTTTCAGCGAAAGCCTTGCCACGACACTCTAATGCCAGTTATCTAGTATTTATTGTTGTGGCTCTTTTATATTTCATTTCATTATTCTTGGGGAAGGTGGAGAGGGGGGGGGGGGGTGTTGACAGGCAAGGAGGAGCTTCAAAATAAACACAAGGGTTAGGAGTTTAGGGTTATATTTTAGGGTTAGTCTGCAGTCTGTGTTTTTCCGCGACCACCCTTTTTGAGAACCGAAAAAGGCCCACCCTCACGCAGACTCTTTATTTGAAGCAGAGGCAATTTATTATTGTTTTGTTATTTTGTCAGTGGAGTGTGTATAGGCGCTGTTACATTAGGCCATGTTTTGTGCAACTTGTCTCACTATTTTGTTGCACTGTTGTGAGACAAGTTGTATAAGACGTTGGCACCAATTAAAATGTTGTTTTTTGTTTTCGCCAAAATCGTTGGTAAAAGTAGGACTTGAGTAGGGGGGGGGGGGGGGGGAATGTGAAGAAGGACCTTTCCTTTGTAGAACAAGGTTGCAACAATACTCTCAGCATCATTGTAGTTTCTGTAACAGAAAAGCTGGGTGGGTTGGTGGCCCCACTCCCCAGCCACCTACCTGAAGGCCCCACCAGGAGCTTATTCTCACACTGGCGTAGTCCCCAGGATGTCTCCTGAGAGAGGGCTAATGTTCAGTCGTTTTGTACCTCATTATCTTTGAGAGATGCAGCCGCAAGCCTCTTGAGAATTTCTACAGGCTGATTGTTATACAAAACAAGCCGTCCATTCGTCATGTTACTGAGGTACTCAACAGTGAGCAGTTTGTTGTAGGGATTACGAGGGTCGTTCACCAGGCACACCTGCAACAACAGCCAAGATCAAAAGATTCATTTCTCCCTGCTGATTGACCTGCACTTCTTTCATTGTTAGCATTGAGAATTTGACAGTCCATCAACAAGACAACATGCACTTCTTAGAAGTCAGTTTTTCGTGCTGTTTTGTACTTCTGAAGCCAAAACCAATGAATTATACTATCATCACACAAAACACAAACGGACAATTTTAATAACATGAAGAGAATTTTTTAGAAAACACTGCCCTGCGGCTATTTAAGGCAAGAAAACACTTGCCTGCGTGCCTCGTGTTCTTCTATATTTCTTTTATTTTTCAAGATCAAGTGTTTTCTCAAATAACCGGAGTGTTTTAATTTATGACAGTATAATACATGGCTTTCAACTGTTTGGCTTCTTTTGTGCTTTAAAATATACTAATACATCATGTATTAACACACAAAACGATAAAACATGGCTTTTCTACGTTTTATGCTCTGATAAAACATGCAGTTGTTTTTTAAACCTACAGCTGTATCAGAGCGTGAACAGCTTTCAGTCTGGAAAGAGATGATGGTATATTTTAAGCTTGGCAGAAATATGAGAAAGATATTATTCTGTCAGTGACACAAGCTACTTGGAAATAAAATTCCGAGTTCTCCCAACAGGAGCAACAGGAGTCAAACCAATGACCTTCCGCACACCGGTCGGACGCTCTACCACTGAGCTACAGGAGACTCGTGGGAGCGAAGCCCATGTAACTAGGCTTTCAGTTTGATAGCTTTCACCTTTATTATGTTCATTGAAGCAAAGTTAGTTTTTTTTAAGACTCGACTGTGAACTTTTTTAGATTTATTTTTTTCCAAAATTTGAGCTTCTAAACTCGGGGTGCGGCTTATCTGCGAGTGCGGGCTTATACGCCAGAGTTTACGGTAATATACATGTACATGTCTTAGTTTATTACCTTGTCTAGAGGATTGTAAAACTGGGTTGACATGTTCATTGTAGAACTGGACTGTTGTTAATCCCGATAACTTGCAATATTTTTTACTTTTATCAGAATATTCCCAGTCAAAAGACTTGGGTGGTGTACCAAGACAGATGCTTGTTATCCTGTATACCTGAAGAAAGAAAGAACACCAATAACTGTCAGTTAAACATAGGCATGCGGGAGTTATTTTTTAAAAATTATTATTAGGCCATGGTAATTTACTGGTACAGAGCCAAAATTCCCAACGATATCCCAAATTTAGTAATTCTTGGGAGTTTTAATTTACCATTAAGTTTCCCAAATAGCAACTTAAAAGATGGTAATTTGAGAATTTGGTACTTTGAAAAGTACCAAATTCTCATTGGCTGTAAACTGGTAATTTATTTAACCGATTATAACAATTAGGTAAATGTAAAGTAAATGCAAATAACCTGCCATACTTGAATTCCCATGAACAAAAAAAGTATAATTTTTTTGTATAACAAAATGGTGTGTTGTATTCTAGAAATCGGCAGGAAGCAATTGAATTCACCCATGATAATTGGACTCACCGTAATTGTAGCTCAAGAGCAATCGTTTGTAATATTCAGCAATTGCATATAACAAGTTGTTGTATTTATGAGAATGTTATTTCACAATTTGTACCACAATTAAGGAAGCAACGGAAAAGAACGTAATATAAGGAAAGGCCAACTATGGAGGTGGGTGGGGTGGTTGGATAGTATCGGATAGTATCGTCGCATACGTTGCATACGTTGCATACGTCGCATACGTCGCATCCGTCGCATAAGCCGCATCCGTCGCATCCGTCGCATACGTCGCATAAGCCGCATACGTCGCATACGTCGCATACGCCGCATACGTCGCATTCGGTTTTTTCTGATTTTTATACCCTATCACAGACTAAACTGCTTGAAAACCATACCCATACCCGGCATAAAGTGACTATGCTGCGAATCAGTTACATGAGGCATCCCATCCAAGGAGTTGGTTAATTGTCAGATTTCCCTAGCCAATTTGCCAACATCCATTTATAATCCTGGGTGGAGACCTAAGGCACTATGGGAGTAAAGTGTCTTGCCCCAAGGACACAAACACAATGACACTGGCCAGAGCTTAAACCCGGATCGCTCGATCCGGAGTCCAACGCGCTAACCATTAGGCCACCACACCTCCCCACTTCATGTCATCTTTGTATCACCTCAGTCATCATCTTTCTCTTTGCTTCTTTCATTGTCCTTTTCACTGCATTTCTTGTCTACTAGTTCTTTTAACTGCACAGCAAATTCTCGCAGCTGCAAGAGGGTATAAGACAAAAATAACAAATTATTTAACATGCAGTTCAGGGCTGCAAATAACAGTCGGTCATCAGACACTGGCCGACCAAAATTTGCCAATGTCCAATGAAATATTTCCAACTGGGTCGGACATACATGTCATGTCCGGACAATTTTTTTTTGCCTTCCAATGCAAATGCTAACGCGTTATAACGGCATTTTGTTCTAAACGCAACACTACAGTTTACTCTTCATTGACAATGCGTTAGTCGATTAGTAGGTTCACTTATCAAGCAGTACTGTATGATGGCCGACCTCCATTTTTGTTTTGTCCGACCAAAACGGTGACTTAGTCAGACACATGTCCTTTCAAGAAACCAAAATAATTTGCAGCCCTGAGTTTGCAAAGTGTTATAGCCACTGACAGTAACAACAATTTTAATACACTACATGTACATATGCAATGTAGATTGACACAGTCATGTGTGACACAAGCAGGCAAATCAGGTTCTCATTTTCTTGGTAATGTCCAAAAAATTGCCATGACACCATAAACACTGGCATCAGATACGCCGCACTCACAGATAAGCTGCACCCCGAGTTTAGAAACTTAAATTTTTGGGGAAAAAATAAAACTAAAAAAGTTCACAGCCGAGTCTTGGTATGTCCTCTGTCTGATCAACACCCTGTGACCTGAGGTCCGATCTTTGACCCCCTTAATTAAATCAAAATAAAACATAGGTCTACCTGCTGTCAACAAACTACATGTACATTTGTACAATACACCAGAGATACAGAGGGCTGCAAATAAGAGTCGGTCATCGGACAATGACCAACCAAAATTTGCTTATGTCCGATGAAATCCAAACTGTGGTCGGACATAATGTCCGGACAATTTTTTTGCCTTCCAACGTAAGCGCCAACAAGTTTTATTCTAAATGCAAACTACAAGCAGTTTACTCTGCGATGACAACGCGTTAAATTAGCAGGTTCACTTATCAAGTAATACTGTAATATGATGTCTGACCTCATTTTTGTTTTGTCCAACCAAAATTTTAGTCGGACACAATGTCCTTTCAAGAAAAAAAATTATTTGCAGCCCTGGATACATGTAATGTACAGTACCTTATAATTCATAATTTTCCTCAGTCGCAACGACCTTCCAGAAGTAAATGCTTCAGGCCAAACTGCTTTGGGTACCAAGCCATATTTTTCCACGAGGTTGATAAGCATGTCCCATTGGCCGCCATCATTCAGTGGATTGGACAATAGAAACATCATTAAACGTCCATCTGCTTCTTCTCCTTTCCTTGCGAGTTCTTCATAGGCATTTATGAAAAAATATGCCCTTTCAATTCTGTCCCAGAAGTAGAGAAACTGTTGGCTAAATTCAAAGTCTTCCAAGTTGAAATGTTGTACAAACTTTTGACGAATCGCATTCAAGAATGCAAATATCCAACACCTTCCCGATGCTCTCTGGTTTGTAACTGGTTTAACTTCATTGACCTGATAATAAAAATATAATAAGTTGGCAGAGTGAAACAAAATGAGTGAAAATGTAGTATGCACGCTCTGCAGACCTATGTTACCTATGATTTCCCGTGATTCATTGTAGCAAATTATTGAAAAGCTGACTAAGTTTACTAAGCTGTGTGTTGAATCCAAATAAATCTGCAGTCATCCCTTCTATTCCGGGGGTCGAAACACTACAATATTATTGGCAACGAGGATAACAAGATTTCAAGTCAGACAGAAATATGGCAGTAAATCTCAGGATTTGAGGAATGCTCAACTTGATCAGATGTTAACTATTATTCAACTCAACATATCAGTCAGCCTTGTTTTTTGAGTTGACCAGAGTACAAAGAAAGCACATCTGCCCACAGGCTAGCACATGTACATTAATGTACTGTCCGATACCCCGGAGCTAGTGGACTTTTCTGTCGGGTTAGTGCATTTTATCCATCACTTGCCTGACGGGAAAGTAAATTTTTGGAGATTTTTTAGTTGGCAGATGAAGTAAAGCCAATGAGAAAGGCCTTCTGGCTAGCAAACAATGGCTCCAACTTGGCCAAAGGGCATCCTGGATAATCTGTTTTCCGGCTTTGCACCCTGCTTAAGCTGGTTGATGCCAACTTATATTAAGGTCGCGCAGCGACCCTTGCTCTCATTATGTATGTATTATTTTTAGAGTTTGCGCGAACCGTGACGACTGATGCCGACCGTATGCGAAATATTCATGAGAAGGTGTTTTTATAACGTTATTATAATCGATTCAAAAAAATTTGTTTTCGGCGTTATTGGTAATTAGAAAGTTATTGTTCTTAGTTTTGCGGCACGTGCAATTCAATGTCCCGAATTATCATAATTAGATTCACAACTTTTGTTGTCATACACTTTGTTGACTCGGGCAAAACCGGCAATTTTGTGTCAAAGCTTTCATCGCGGAAATAGAATTTCAGGAATTGATACACGAGGAAGATAAAACTTAGTGTACTGTATTGTGATGTGACAGAAAGCGGAATTGCAAAAAAGCCTTTCAAAAAGAAGATAGAACGTTTCAAAGTCTAATTTTCAAAATTTTACTCCTTTGGAAGGCAATAACTTTCGACGAGTCTTGAAATTGCAAAATCTGCTTCTGTCACATCACAAGAGGTTTATGATGCACCACTGGGTAATACAATCATTAAGTTTAAAACGCTTCCCAAGCTGAAAGCTTGGACACAAAAGATTGATTTTTCCGCAATTCTAAATTTAGTAGCTTAAAATATCACCGTAAATTGCGATCTGCCAGAAAAACGGACAATCATGATGTAATTCTATCATCCACCAATATCCCCATTAAGTTTCAGCGGAATCGACTTTCAAAATGCAGAGATTTGAAGCTTTAGAAGATAACACCTACCACTGAAATTTGACTTATGAATTTATTCATGATCAAGGGTCCTGCGCGACCTTAAGGAATGTAAAGCAAACCAAGCCAAATCGTGTACATGTATTCTCAAACTCATTAATAATTCACCAAGTTGAAACAAAGGAAATCATAACCGTGTCTGAGGTTTATTTCTCTGTTTACCGACTCCTTACTTTTTTTCGATTGAGAGGGATATATCAAACACTCAAGATAGTATTTTATCAGCTATCCAAAGACCTCGAATTTCATCAAAAATACTCGATGCACATCGTATTTTCAACTCTCTTCTCTGTGTTTGGATATCCGAATGAAACACTGTCTCTCGTGTTTGATTAATACATCATAGATAGTGGTAGATTTTATATTATTTTTAGAATATTTTTAATTTTTAACAACTTGTTGACATCTTTTTGACAACTTTCTAATGGCTTTCGTTTCAACTGGCCAATCAAAAATATGCAAGAACTATGAGTGGAGGAGTTGCCAAGCTCCATATTCGCGTTCTGGCAATTGACATCTCTGCCTCCCACAATTCTTACAATTTGAAAGTTTTCAAAAATATGTCAAAAAAAACGTCAAAAAGTTGTCAAGATTTAATCAAAAACTTTGTTGAGTGGCAACGGTAAAGGTGATACAAGTATAAACTGCGTAGCGCCTTGAAGTATTATGACTTCTAATAGTGCCAAAAATCATTTTACTCAACATTTTGGCAACGGTAATAAAGGGTCAGCTCTTCATGCCATTGTAACATGACACGTGTCATGTTATCATTGTCCGTCAATTAAAGCACATTAACGGGCAGTAACGGCAGTAGAGCTTAGAAAAACTGTATTGAGCTTTCCTAAGAAGATTCTCATCAATCCTATAATTCCATATATCGTAAGCTCAATTTAAAAAATTCAAGGAAAAAAAAATTCCATGTCCGCACGCGATTCGTAAAACTGCCCTTGCTTCATAGCATACCTTGTGTTTATAAACGTGATTGACTGTTTTCCGCCACATTTCTGTCCAAACAGACTTCAAGGGGATCATATTGAGTTCCCACGTTCTGTACGATAAGATTTTTCGTGTCGCTATTGAAAGAATTCTGTATTTCTGACAGCAATTCGCTTTCAACACCACAGGCCGCCATCTTGGAGAGGAAAATATGATGTCCGAGCAGGACTGGCGCGAAAGTAGTTTTCATTCCTTTTCGTCCTTTCATCAGCAGGGTGGGGTGGAGTCGCGCCCACAAAACGAAGGGGAGGGAGGAGGACACGACGACACTGACGATCTGATAAATGGACGTTACACAGGTTGTAAACCTTTTTTATTATTTTAAATAACTGAGATTTTTTCAGTTCCTTACATACATTTATTCAAGATACTAGTAATACGTGACTCGCAGGCCCTCGCGAAGCTTTTGTTGCCTAGTAACGGGCACGCCTGCGATTTGATCTGCAAGGTTTCCAAGAATCGCTGCAAGGTTTCTGAGAATCGCCGGAGGAACGCCGTGTGTTTGCTATGCCACCGGATTTTGGTTTCGATTGGAGTTCGCTCGTCTCTCGATATCTGTAATAAATTGTAGCGCTCTTGTACTGTTTTCCCCACTTTTCCGTCCGAATGATCTGAAACCACCTCGCTTTCGTAGGTAAAAATCTTCTTCGCAATATCGGATCGGCGAATTTTTTTAGACACAAGTCTTCGCGTCTACAATGAAAACTAAGCCATATGTTGATCGTACTTTGAGAAATTCCTGAGTCGTCTTTCCTTTTCCTGTTGTTGATAATGGATTTAATAAAGCCGGGTTTCTTTCACAAATGACCCGTATATAAATTTGTTCGATAAACAAACTTGGAGTAAAAATTGTTATTCTTCAGCAGCCGTTCCTGTTTCTACATTTACGTGTACAAAGATTACGTCGAAGTCAATGTTATTAAGCAAAGAAAAGGGGGTTAAAAAAAAGAACGGCCTGGATTTGAACCGAAAAAAAAAAAAAAAAA